TTGCTCCATATACACTTCCTCAATGAGATCACCATGTAGGAAAGCATTTTTTATGTCAAGTTGCACAAGAAGCCAATCATACATAGTAGCTAATGAAATCAACACCCGAACTGAACCAATTTTAGCCACAGGAGAAAATGTCTCCATATAGTCCACACCATACAACTAAAAATAGCCCTTGGCCACTAACCTGGTCTTCAATCGCTCCACACTACAATCTGGAAGATACTTCACTGTATAGACCCACTTACACCCAACAGCATGCTTACCAGGAGGAAGAGGAGTGAGTTCCCACGTGTGATTGTGTTGTAGAGCAGAGAGTTCCTCTTCCATGGCTTGCCGCCACCCTGGGGAGGTAATGGCTTCCTGGACAGTCTTGGGAATGGAAACAAATGATAGCAATGATATAAAGTTGCGATGAGAAGCAGAAAGGTGAGCAGCTGAAACATAGTATGAAATAGGATGAGAAGTACAAGTGCGTTTACCTTTCCACAGGGCAATAGGAAGACCAAGATCTAAGGGAGAAGAAGCAATGACAAGATCTGTCGACGAGGGCTGAATTGGAAGAGGGGTCGGTGCTCTTCTGTGAGTATACACTTGTTTGATTGGTGGCCTCTCAGTAGTAATTGGCATGGGAGGTGAATCTACAACTGGAATGGGAACCACGGGAAGGGGATCCACAACAGGGACGGGCTTGTCATTTATAGAGCCAGCCCAATCAGTATCAGTGTAAACCTCAACTCTCATATGACCATGCTTCTTGAACAATAGGCATGTCCCTGGGAATTTCTTCAGATATCTCAGTACCCTATCTGCCGCTTCTAGGTGTGCTACCTTAGGAGCATGCATAAACTGGCTGAGAACCCCCACAGCATATGCTATGTCAGGCCTAGTCATGGATAAATAGAGCAGTCTTCCCACAAGTCTTTGGTACTGCTTTGGATCCTCCAAAAGCTCACCACCACAGTCCCCAAGTTTATGATTCACATCTATAGAAGTGTCAGCAGGTTTGGCCCCAAGTTTTCCTGTATCTTTCAGGAGATCTAGGGTGTACTTCCTTTGAGAGATGAAGATTCCCTATTGGGAGCGAGCCACTTCAATTCCAAGGAAGTAACGCAATGGACCTAGATCCTTCACCTCAAATTGTGTAGCTAGGAACCTTTTTAACCTTTGTATCTCTGAGACCCAATCACCGGTAATGACAATATCATCAATATAAACAATCAGAGTTGTTGTTTCCCTTGTTCCTTCTTTACAAAGAGTGTGTGATCAAATTGGCATTGCCTAAACCCCATCTGTTGAACTGCCTGGTGAAATCTGCTAAACCAAGCCCTTGGTGATTGTTTTAGGCCGTATAAGGACTTCTTTAATTTGCACACTTTCTACTCTTGACCCTTAGCACAAAAACCAGGAGGTTGAGTCATGTATACTTCCTCCTCCAAATCCCCATTCAAGAAGGCATTTTTAATGCCTAGTTGATGAAGCTACCAATCAAGGTTTGCTGCCAAAGAGATAAGAACCCAGATAGAATTCATTTTTTCCACAGGAGCAAAAGTCTCAGCATAGTCAACCCCATACACCTGTGTAAAGCCCTTTGCAACCAATCTAGCCTTGTATCTCTCAACTGTGTCGTCTGCCCTGTGTTTCACAGAGAACACCCATTTGCACCCTATAAGTTCCTTTCCGGCTTTCCCTCAAGAAGGTCCACCAATTCCCACGTGCCATTTTTGTGTAGGGCATTGATTTCTTCCTTCATAGCCTTTGTCCACTTAGGAGCAAGAAGAGCATCTGTGACACTTTTAGGGACTGGGACATTATCAATTTCAGATAGGAAAGCACAAAATGAGGATGAGACATTTTCATAGGATAAGAATTGAGCCATGGGGTGGTGTGTGGTGCATGATCCAACCCCCTTCCTTTTTGCAATAGGAAGGTCTAGATCACAATTTGAAGTGTCAATGTCAATGGGTTCAAGAGTTTCAACAGGGATAATAGTACCTAGTGAGGACATTGATTCAGCTCCCGGCAGTTCGATGG